CAAACTTATATTTTCTCGAGCCCAATAAACATTATTTAATGCGAGCTACAAAATGAGCCCAATGTTGATATACTTTTGATCACTCTATAAAAAGTTAAAAATTTGGCCCATTGAAACATAAGAATTTAAAAGATACTTCATTTTAGTCCATCAACTTTCAAAAATCATAAAATAAAATTTATAAAACAAATATTTTTATTCTAAAATTTTCGAGGTGTTACAGGTGGAGATCTCTTAGCTGCAAGTAGATATTCAGATACTTCAGGCGAAGCAGACCTCGCGGAGAACGTTGTAAGTGGTGGAGATCTCTTAGCTATTTCTGACATTGAGTCTAAATCGAAAGATGATTGAATTCTTGATTCAACATGTGTGTTTCATATGTGTCCTAATAAGGACTTGTTTGCTACATATGAAACTGTTTCCAAATGTGTCGTGATTATGGGAAACAACTCATCTTGTTGGGTTGTTGGAATTGATACAGTCAGATTGAAACTTTTGGATGAGACAATTAGAACACTTGGTCAGGTTCGACATGTTCTAAATTTGAAGAAGAATCTCATCTCATTATCTATCCTTGATTCAAAAGGTTATGAGTTCTTTGGTGGAGGTGAAGTTTTGAAGGTTTGTAAATGTGCTCAAGTTGTATTGGATGGACATAAATGGTCTCAGTTATACATCTTGCAGGGTTGTGCAGAATTTAGAAGAGTCAATCGGCACAAGTTCAAAACTAAAGTGGACATTCGGTTGGTACAATACCTTTAGGAGCTCATAAATGGTCGGATTTGAAGAATACAGTTCAGTGGAGTTCAGGAGATATAGATAATGCCGCTTTGCCACCATCACCTGCGGTGCCATTGTATTCAATTGCTAGGGACGGACCCAATGGAAAATGGTATGTGGATGCTGATTTTATTGAGCATGCTTTAAGTGGAGTATAATGTATACAATTTAGCAATGGGTCTTCTTTAAAAGCATTTGAGTTTGATTCTGCTTTGGAGTGTGTTACA